CAAAGTAGCCCATAGCCCTTGGAAACCGATGGGCGATGCTATCGATCATCGATAGTGGAACCTCTAGCTGACAAGCTGTGTAAAAAGCTTAGACCCCCCACCAAGAGACTCGAAGCGGCAAGATTTCAGGAATCGACATGATGTGAACTAGAGGTGGTAACAGTCGTAGTTGGCTGTGGTCAGGGTTCTCAACCAGCCAGAACACAGATCTAGCGATGAGGACCAAGATGATCAGGCAGCTCCGTGATGCAAGAATGTTACCAAGTACCACCCACGGATAGCTCTGATCTCCCCATGGGTTTTGGTAGGATCTGCAGTGCTGGGAAGTCGCCATCCAACCAAAGCTGTTGCATGGGGTACCCAACACTCCAAGTGCACCCTCCTGACACCTCAAAGCCAATCTCATGAATCGCAATAGGCCCATAGTCGATGAAAGGTCTTGGGTGACCATATCCTTTGTGATGTCACAGCTCTGCCTCAGACACATCCACATGTTCATGGACCCGGACTGCCTTGCAGGAGTGTTGCACACCAAGCGACGCGGAGGAGCCCAACTCTCCTGAGGGCCGGGAAGGGCAGGACAGGTGGAAATCAGGTGGGTGACACAAAAAGATGTAGTGCGTGAAGTGCTTCACAAAAAATAAGGGTCCAGCTAAAACCTCGAACAATAGATTCACAGCCACCGAAGAACTCTGCACACTGGAGATCCTCAAATAGGTTTGAGTGATGTTGCAAAATTAAAGATTTTATGCATGTGAAGCGTTTTGCCATTAATGCAAGGTTTGCCTACCAAGTGGCCCTGAAATGGAGACCGCATTCCTTGTCCAGGTTTTGATCCACAAAGTCTAGAAGGTGAATCCTGAAATTTGCAGGCTCTAGAAGTTAAACTCTGAAAACCATTTGCACACACTTGTGATCTCGATCTATATCATTAATGCAACCCAATAACAATATCGGTGGTGCTCCCATACCCAGCAGTGCCGCCACTTGCAGCTTGCTCATCGACAACGAGCGAAGGTTCCGCATAGCTAGCCACAGAGAGCGCCCCCCAAAAAAAAACTGAGCCAATCTGCCAGCATGTTTGTAAGTTTGCTTCCACATAGACAACATATCTGACACCTCCGATCCTGAGACCTCTCAGACTCAGTCAAGCCCTGAACACATCCGATTGAGAGGATTTTAATATCGAGCCCTGAAACACTCGAGAACGGAGGGTGGCGCCTTTCTTCAGTACTGGCTTCTTGACATCGATGGCACCTGCCAATACCAGCGATCGGATCGAACAAAACATTGAGAGGCCTCACTTGGCACAGATATGAACATTAGCGTTCATGAAGACCCAACACCAATCTCTGCGAGTTTAATTCGAATTCACGCATATTGATATTCCTGTCCAGCCTTCTCCCGCACGTGCAGGAGCAGAAGGAGCACATGGTGTACCTGGAGGATTGGGATCGGCAACGGCTCAGTGAGTTGTGGGTCCCTGATGACGGTCTCCAGGTTGAGAGACTACGATACCCACGCACGACTCAAAAACAATGGAGTGCAAAGTTTCCTGAATGCACCGAAGTCGATCCGATCTCATGCACACCCCTTCCCCTGGAATTCTTTTTCACCTGGGCCCAGCTTGCTAAGCTAGGTTGCGCATGTGTGGACACACACAGCACCGGGTACCGTTTTGGTTTCTTCGAAACAGATCTTTAAGATCACAGTGCTACGGAAGCGAACCATTGAGCTAAAATGCAATGCATGGTTTTTGATTGTTTTTTTTTCATGTGTAGATGGTGAATTTCAAGACCTAGATACACAGTGCACATCACTTCCAAAGCACTTCCCCAACCCCAATGAACAGCCCTATTGGCTGTTGATTTCAATCACAGTGCCTGGACGGAGACAAACAACGTCATGAGCTAGCTAATTACCAACAAGAGGTCGATTGGATTGGATAGGAAACATGCAAGTTTTGGAAGCTTGCCTCGACTCGATCATGGTCATGGATCAATCCATCCACCCAGAACCATTGCATGCTTCCAGGCCGTGCGGATCTTGTTCAGCTCGCTTTCCACAGGGCTGGAAGCCTTGTACCATGGGATGGTCACACCATTCTTCACATCGACCTGAGCGGCTGAACGACACTAAGCCAAACCGTGGCAAAGTCGACCAGTGGGGAAGGTACAAATTTGAAGACTTTCGTTAGACTAGAAACGACCAAGGCCACTACTTTGTAGAATTTCCGGCACTCCTCAGGCCAGCTGTCTTGAGGTAAGGCCACCTTGCCTACATAGAAGGAGCTGCTATACAACACAACCCCAATTGGACGGGCGAAAGGTGGAGCCCCAGGCTTGGGCTTCACCGTATAGCTCTTGCGTCCTGCCAAGGGCACCTCAAGAGCCGGGATGTTTGATGCCATGAGCAGGCCAAAGGCTTTCCGAACCTTTTCAGTCTTCAGATCCTCCGCGACTGCCACAAAAGAAGCAGCATCCAGAGAGCTGTCGACGTCATTTGCTTCAGCTTCTTCTGCAGCTGCCGATGCTGGCACAGGTGGTGCATCTCGCTTCCGAGACTTCCGCTTTGGCTCAGCTGCCACCACC